ATTTTCTTCTTGAAAATCGTATTTGAATGTACTATATAATGACCTTTAGCTTACTTTTACTTATTATTGAACATGCAGGTATTTAAATTCTTAGAGGTGTGTTAGTTAAATTAAAATAAAGAAAAATAAATAGAATTAAGAAAATTACATCCGTATAATAACAAAGGTATAGCTGAAAGAAAATTACGCATTTTTTAGGCCCATAGTGTTCAACGGCTAACTGTAGTAGGTGATTTCATATAATAATGTAAATGTAAACTCATTACTTGTCTGAATTTCAACATTATAATGGAATCATAATCTACTAGTCATAAAAAGAATTAGCGTTGAATTAGAATGAAACGCATCCAAACTGGATAAAGGGCCTCAATATTTTGCCCCTTACAAGACAATGTCATAAAAGGGAGAAAACTAAAATCTACAGCAATTAATCCCATGCGTTAGCTCTTTATCTCTCCATTCTTCCGTCTGTGTGACTGACGCAGGTGACAGATTTATTCCAGATCAAATTAAGGTCTACTGTACAGTAGAGATGTCAGTTAAAGGGTTAAGTTACGGTTTAGGTGGGATATTAAGAAAGCAAAAAAAAGCACTAAACAAGGCTAATAACCTCGATGTATTAACAGTATTCCCCATGATATGTACTTACAAGTCATTTCCCCACCAGCAACTACAGCGGCCGCTTGGACTTTTGACTAAGTATACCAAAACCTATAAATCTCCTGTAAGATTTGTGGTGTTTGGATGATTCTAGAGACCTTCATGATTATGTAGATATACAGGTCAACAAAAAATACTTGGTAACATGAAAATTACACTTCTTTGGGAGTTTGCCTTCGCCGTGCTTCCTGGAAGTAGGAACTTGACAGCATCATGTGACCGGAACAAAGTGAAATCCTTTATTTGGTTGTTTTCTTGCATGTCATTGAGAAATAAAACATGGATAACATCTAGAAAAATACTTGCACAAGGAAAATGACAACTATAAACTGCAGCCAGTGGGCTTGAATGTGTGTATATATATATGTTTAGTCATTAAGAATATAACACACTAAAGAAAAGCGCTCTCTAAATAGACACCATGGGTGGCTCTTAAAAGAGCCTTTGTGTTCCAGAAACAGACTAGAACGCGTCTACTTGGCTTTGGCGGGCTTCTCGCTCTTCTTGGGCAGCAGCACGGCCTGGATGTTGGGCAGCACGCCGCCCTGAGCGATGGTCACTCGGCCCAGGAGTTTGTTCAGCTCCTCATCATTGCGCACCGCCAGCTGCAGGTGACGGGGGATGATGCGGGTCTTCTTGTTGTCTCTGGCGGCGTTTCCAGCCAGCTCCAGGATCTCAGCGGTCAGGTACTCGAGCACAGCCGCCAGATAGACGGGAGCTCCGGCACCGACGCGCTGAGCGTAGTTACCTTTGCGGAGAAGCCTGTGAACACGACCGACGGGGAACTGCAGCCCTGCTCTGGAGGAGCGACTCTTGGCCTTCGCTCTCGCCTTGCCGCCGGTTTTGCCTCTTCCACTCATAGTTGGTTATAAAAATTCCTACGTTTGTAAAGCAGAAATAATGAACATGTGAGCCCCGCTCTACTGTATTTAAAAGAGCGTGCGAGTCACCCATTGGTTTAGAGTCTGTAAGATTTCAAACCAATCACTGAACTTCCCTCCAACACTGACCGCCGAAGCCACGCCTCCTCAGCTGGCGGTCTGATTGTGTAGCGTTAAGAAACAACACGACAGAAAACATTCAAGACCTTGTTACGGGGTGTTCAAGTATTTCAAAATAATTGTCAAGGCAAAAAGCATTAATAAATAATGTTTGTACGCTAATTAAATTAAGATCAACGATCCATTAAAGCTGTTATAATATACGTGAATAACTTTGTGGCTTTTCTAAATACACAGTCAACATGTAAAACATTGAGTCGAGGTAAACTCTTCTGTTTTATCATTTTTTATTTGTACTGTATTCTTCTAATTTCAGGCATACTCCGTCATCTGATGACACTGAACTTGTGGATCTAATCAAACAAAATAATGATCTGGACAACAGAAGAGAGGTTCAGCTGTTTGTTACATGGTGTGATGATTTTGTTATTTCTTTAATTCAGTGTGGAGAAGACTGAGTTGATCACTGATTTCAGAAGACATAAGGGGCAGTAAAACCCATGCTCAGGAGATAGAAATAGTTCAGTCTTATAAATGTATTCATTGCTGTTATTTATTGTGTTGCCTGCAGTTTACAACGCTGCTGAATGAGTTGCTGATGGATTGTGTTGTTTGTAAAGTACAATTAGTTTTCTTAACCTAACCTTACTAACACAAAGTGAACTGCTCTTTCTTTAGAGTTAGTGGGTGGCTCTGAAAAGAGCCGTTGGGGAATAAAACAGTGTTTTTACTTCTTCTTGGGAGCTGCTCTTTTCGGCTTGGCAGCTTTAGGCTTCGCCGTCTTGGGTTTGGGGCTCTTGGCTTTTTTGGGGCTCTTGGGCTTTTTGGGGCTCTTGGCTGCTTTCTTCGGCGCCGCGGGCTTCTTCGGCTTCTTGGGGCTCTTCGTCGTCTTCTTCGCGGCTGCAGCGGCGGGTTTCTTGGCCTTCTTGGGCGACTTCTTTGCCGCTGCGCTCTTGGGCTTCTTGGCAGCAGCGGGTTTCTTGGCCGCGGGCTTCTTCGCTTTAGGAGCCGCTTTCTTCGCCGGCTTCTTCTTGGTCTCGGTTTGCTGCTTGTTGAGCTTGAAGGAGCCGGAGGCGCCGGTCCCTTTGACCTGCAGCAGGGTGCCTTTAGTCACCAGGCTCTTGATGGCGAGCTTGATGCGGGAGTTTTTCTTCTCCACGTCGTAGCCGCCGGCAGCGAGAGCTTTCTTCAGGGCTGCGAGAGACACGCCGCTCCTCTCCTTGGACGCAGACACGGCTTTAACGATCAGATCACCGACAGCTGGACCTGCTTTCTTGGCTTTAGCTGCGGACTTCTTCTTGGGCGCTTTGGCCGGCGGGGCGGCAGCAGCTGGGGCGGTTTCTGCCATCTCTCTCTGTCTCTGTCTCGGTGTAGATCTGCAGTAAATCAGACGCTCTCCAGGTTAAATCAGACGCTCTCCAGGTTAAGCACTGAGCAGCAGTCGAGCGGCGCTGCGCTCTTATTTAACACATGAGAACCTTACAGACTCAACCCGCCCGCTCTGTGTCTGCGCGCCTCAGCGAGCCGCTCGCGCTTGTGTTTTCTTCTCCTACATTTAAGAGCAAAACTCGAGTGCTAAAATAGTTTGGCGCAGTAGAAACACAGTGACCAGCAAGCAGAGGTTCTTGGCTTTCTGTGGAGACTCAAACACGCGGCGAGGAAATGTTTGTTTTGCCCCGGTCAGATCAAACTCGAGGCGAGCATCAGCCACGGAACAAAGCCGCGTCTGCATTTAATGCCTCGTTTAAGTGCAAAAGCTGATAAAAGATGAAACTCGTCCTCTGTGTGTTTCAGAAACAGTTTGGAAGTGTATTTAATGAAACGAGCTTCAGTGAAGGGCGTGTGCAGTGCTTCATACAGATGTTGTTTTGGGCAGCTTGAAGCACAAACATCCGGACACCTTTCTTTCTTGTTGATTATTGTTTACAGGATCAGTTTGAATGAAAATCAGGGCCAGATTGACTCCCATAGATGGCCTGGACCTGAACTATTGCAGATGACCAAACACTAAAATATAGCTCTTGCAGATGTAATGCAGACTCAAGTAGACTCTCCGTAATGTAGGTGTGCTGCAGGATTGGGATTGGGTTTGGGTTTAGAACTAGTTCTGATGAGAGTTATCGCTCAACATGTCATCTTGGCCAAAGTCACCAAACTTGAACACTGGAATGCAGTGAAATGTGAAACTTCTTTGCAGAGCTCATCTGTCCAGTCTCCCCTCTCAACTGTTTGCGCACACAAAGTGTCCATTGTTGGGAATTGTGGCAAAGCAGTGCTTATGTTGTTGTTCAGATATGTTTACAGCAAGAGATTGTGTGATATATTCATTTTATTGGAATACATGCATCCACACCACAACAGATAACAAATGCGTCTTGAATTTACATAACTGGAATAATAAAGAAAGTTTCTCACAGCATTTATTTTCACTAACTAACAAAGTTAAAAGGAAGAACAGTTGAAACAAATCAAACCATGACCAGCATTATAAATAATAATTGTAACAAGATTTCACATATTGTATACTCATGTATAAAAATGAGTGATAAAAGAACACATACAGACACTTAATATTTACTGGTATTTGTTGATTAGTTAAATGCATTTGCTAGATTTAAATTTTAATAACACATTAGTTTTATGCATGTTTGGCATTTACACCGTTCTGACCAATAGCTGAGTTTCAAGCGCTTCAAATCATTTTGCACCTGTTCAGTTGATTAAAAGTGATCTTTCTTCCATCTCTGTTTCAGTGAAGTCTGACCAGACCAGCTTCCACATGAACACAAGTCCATTATTTGCATGTTTTATAGACAATCAGGCTTGTAGCCATCGTTTTGCTCACTAGTGGTAACACACTGTAATTAAAACTGATCTACATCCGTTTCAAGCATCCCCCTTTTCTCATCTTGCACAAAAACACAAAAGTTATACTTAATTTCAACATTTTTACTCTCCTCACTAAATGCTATGCAAAGCATCCCGTGCACCATATTAGTCATTATATTTTCTACAAGCCAAAATGTTACTTAATGTAGATTAATAAAATATGTGTTTTGGCTTTTTATACTTTAATTCCACCATAAACAAAAGCTTACACAATGAAACTAGAAATTCCACTTAAAATAAAACTAAATGCATGTTGTTAGTCAATGTTTAATTTAGTTTACTTATTAAAAAAAATACCTTAATATTTATTTTGATGTATTTTTTTAAATATGCAGTGTTTCACCTTTTTACATTTTTTTTTTCTCGGTGCTGAGAAGAATCACGTGGCAAAAAAATACAAAATAAAAAGAATAAAAATAAAAAGAGATCAGAGAAGAAAGATAATTTAGGTTGTTTTGGTTCTGTCTGTCTTCATTTAATAATTTGCGCCCCTGAAAGCTGCAAAGAAAAAGGAACAAAATATCTCATAGGTAAAAATGCAATTGATACAGACATATTTTGAAAACAACCAAACTGCGTACTGATAAAAGCTTGGCAAATTTGAATTGTGTTCTATGAGTCTTCTGAATTATGAAGTACAATATTATGTAACTTACGGTTCTTTTCATATCTGATGTTGTAGGCAACTGGTCCGCTGATGGTGAAGCCCAGGTAGAAAGACACCTGGCCTGGTTTGCACACACTGGACGGATCGCGAGGAGTGACTGGAATCTGTTTCTTTCTTCTAATAGCAAACACTTTATGTTTTCTGACTTGCCCATTGATGCGTGGAAGATCTTTGATTTCTACACGTTCATCCCCTTCAGTGAGGAGCTCCAGATCAGTTTGATGTAGTTTTGAGGTGTGAACCAGTCTCTGCAAACCTTTCTCTTTCCCAAAGAAGAACAGAGGCACCAGGTAGCGGCCGCGGAGGTATTTCTGATACTTCTTCTTGTATGAAGGATGCATTTTTCTGAGACACTTTTCAAGGTTTGGAGGGTTTGTGATTCCTGGCTGTGCTTCATCAGGCCAAAAGAGCAAAAGAATCAAGAGTTCACCATGCTGTTCAAGAAGTCAATAGCGATGTCAAATCTTGTCACATTGTGCTCAGTGAACAGTTTTAGACAGGCATCAGCAATCATTGGATGAGCCAGACAAATGCATTGGTCTTCTTGTTCTCCTTCTGAGTATGTTACTAGGAGATCCTCGGAAGGCTTCATTATCGTTTCCAGCAAAGGTTTTCCTTCATCAGTGGACCATTCTTCTTCTTTAATGAAATCCTCACAGACAAGCTTCGACAAGTGTGAACCTGGGACATACGAGTTTATCAAAGCCAAAAAACTGAGAAGTCTTGTGCTGCTGGACTTTGTGTCCTTTTCAATATGATTCACCATTTTTTGTGTGATCAGTTTCTCTGCATCCTCTTTCTGGAAACCTCTCTGCATGATGTTAAAGGCAAGAAACTTCTGTGACATTTCCATCTGTTTACTTTCCAGCTGAAGCTTCTTCTGAGCAAACGTCTCCTTCTCATGTGGTAAGAGCTCCATTTTCAGTTTCACATCGCTTGGCGCTCGAACAACATTTTTCTGATACGCATTGATAATGATGAATGCAGGATGGTCAGTTTGATTAGCGCGCTTAAGCTTTAACTGCAGACTCTTTAATAAGTAGCGTACTGGCTTTTCACCTTTGTTATCTAACAGGAGAAGCACAGTGTTTTTATGTGTTTTATATATTCCGAGCAGTTCATTTGCTGTATTTTCAATCTCTTTTGCACACTTGTCTTTATTTGCAGCGATATCTGTTTTGAATGATTGTGTCAGGGTTTCACATGTGAACTCTTCCCTCAAGTCTCTCAGTACTTCACTGGCTAGTGTTGATCCGTCGCTGTCTTTATGGTACAACAGATTTATGGTTGCGACTTTCCTTTGGCTTTTTCTCTGTAGTCGGATCTGTTGCAGAAGTTTTTCCTTTAATCGTCTAATTTGCTCTTCAGAGGGTTTTTTGTTGAGAATCAGTGTGTCGGTGAGAGTAAAGTCTGCAGTCCTGCAGTTCAAAATGATCGCGACTGGAGAGTTTCTATTGATGCCCCTCTTATGGATTTCTTCAATCAGGTCTTCTCGGAGATTACTGTCCGTCTTTCTCTTGGTGTCCAGTAACAGCAGCACCGTTTGCCGATCTTGTTTTGCATGTTGTTCATTAGACAGCAGAAAAAGGTCCAGCACTTGTTTCGACAGCTCTTTGGTGTCTAGATCTGAATCGATCACTCTGGCACATCTGAGATCTTTCCGGAAAT